TAATATGAAGTAGTCATCCTATAAGTTTCATCACCTTTCAAGGGGATGAAGTAAAAAAAGCATTGCATCAATATGAACTCATCTAGTCCCTCTCCCTCTCCCTCTCCCTCTCCCTCCCTCTCTCTCAAAAGAGAGCCTCATCAAAGGTGAGTGACAGAGTAATGAATTCATCCTCAATCTTACAATGACAAGGCACTTGCCTACATATTAGTGACCAACATGACAAATTAGTCACATGATTACAAATTCACACAAAGATATACTGCTAAGAAATTATCTGGAACCTCTGTCAGAGTTGTTGTAATCTGGGTGTCTAAGGATATTATATGTAGTCCATACTGGGTGAAGGTGCTAAAGATTAGTTCATACAAGTTCGCAATCTCCTATCCAATAAAAAAAAAAAAATAATAATAATAATAAAAAAATATATATATACATATATTGTGAAGGGTAAAGTATTAGTCCTAAGCATCATTTGCATTCTAACAATGTGTTATTAACATGTAACTTTACAAGAAACTATAATATTAATAGTCTTTATTTACCCAAATTAGTATGCATTTAATATTTTTTGCAGTAATAGGAATGACTGATTATGAGGTAAAGCCTTAGATACCACTGGAAGAGCTAGCTTTATTATATATCTGAAAGCTTAAAAAATTCTGATAACAGAAACACATTTGACCTGAAGGTGTTTTGGCTATGGGATTGTAAACCTGTGTTGCCAATGGCTTAGAGTACTCATACTTTTCCATAAATCACTTGTTCAGACACTATATATTTTCAATAATACAATTCATATTTTTTCCTAATAACAATCTAAAATACCTTATCATAATAATTTTCAATATATTTGCTGTACGATGTTGAGGCCCCTCTTTTGTGTCCTAAATAACTTTGTTCAATTCAACCTTTTTTGATGACAATTAAGAATTAGCATATTTTGACATAATTTGGAAACAATTACACTGTCAGAAATACAAAATGATTGTGATTTTCTTTGTAGTATATGTTTTTGTTCTTTCTACTAAAGATGTAATAAAGGTTCTTTCCATTGTCTAAAATCCCTAACATTCACATAATTAGTTTTTTAAGTTCTCTGTGACATAAACATGTCTCTACTTTAATTTAACATTACTGTGCTTATGATTTTAAAAGTTTTTATATTTGTGTTTTGATTTGTTTGTTTGTTAATTCACATTATGCAGTGCATTTTTCTCACATGTTTAAAGTTTGTGTTACTTCCATTATGTGAGTTTAATCCTACTCATAATATGATTTCCCAGTACAATACCAATTCATGTGACAGGCTGTGTGTGCAGTCAGCCACTCAATTAAAAAAACAGAAGTGTGGGAAGCATATATATACCTATTTTTCAAGAGCTGTTCCTTCTCAATGAACACAGCCAATGGAATGCAAGAGAATACTATTTAGTGTGCACAACTTACAGCAGGCTCACAACACTGTAGGAAATCACCCAGCATGAATGATTGTTTTGCCTTAATGTGAGAGGAAGTCATCCAGTTTAAATACTGCTACTATTTTTCCCTCAAATTTCACCCCTTCTTACAATTTCTTATCCACAGAAGCCCCCATGCATACCCCGCATGTACCCAAAAATGTAGTTGAAGATTATAGAATAACTGCACTTCAGTGTAATCACTTGACAAAATTAAATAGCTTCACACCCACTACCAATCCTTGCCTTGTGTTTATCAAACTTCTATTCATGTTCAGCCCTTCTGACTCCAAATTGAACTGAGAAATCCTAAGGTAAAAACCACCTAAAAACTAATTACCAGTTCAAATTCAGTCTACCAATCTTGTTTATCAACTATATCTTTGTCCACCTGGATATCTATATGATCATCCACACATGTCTCGGCTGTACATATACTTAACAACTTCTGCGTTTATTCAAAGCTAAAGCTGCTACATTGTCCTGGCTGCCCTCTGGAAGGGGAATCTTTTACAATGAAAAGCTAATATCTGATACTTATTTCATCTTGTCTTGACTTACTCAATATGAGGAAATCAAGACAAGCTGAACAAGAGCCCTCTCACAAGCCAAACTCCTAGCATCACACTAACAAGCTATCAATGCTGAATCTCACATCAAGTCTTGGCTGATACTATGTATTCTTCTACCTTTTAATATTTATATGAGTTTACATTTCAGACTTGTTTATTAGTAACTACTCCAGAGAAGAGAGGGAGAAAGAAAAGGAGAATGACAGGGAAGGGACACAGAGAAAAAAAGAGAGAGATGATTTCTTAATAAAAATTCATACCTACCCATTTCACCATCAATCCCTTTGTAGCTTTATCCAAGTCCATCAGGTCCTCCTTGTTCTTCACTGGCTCCCCGTCTTTCTTCTTCCAATTGTTCTTCTTCCAGCTCTTCAACCACGAGGTCATGCAGTTGATCATGAACTGTGAATCAGTATAAACTGCCACTTTGTCAAAACCTGCAAACCAAAAGTAATGACAGTTAAGGAA